GATGAGTTTGTTTCTTCATCAGGTTTCCACAAGTAATCCACAGCACTCCAGTCCATCAGTTAACATCTGGAGAAGACAAAAGCTGAGACAAATCCAGCATTAAGACAGATAGATAGACAGATAGATAGAGTCAGATGACAGATAGATAGATAGATACGAGTCTATAATCCATAATAACGCTTCCTCCAGTGAAAAAGTGTTCTGGTGTGAATCAGGAGAGAAATCTGCACAGATCAAGCAGCGTTTAAACAGCTCTAAACTAATATGTGGCTGGATTTTGACGTGAGAGACAACAGCAGATGCACTTTTTCACTGGAGGAAGAGTTATTATGGATTATGGACTATGTATTTGAGTTAAAAGTGTCTTAATGCTGGATGTGTTTCAGCTTTTGTCTTCTCCAGATGTTAACTGATGGACTGGAGTGCTGTGGATTACTTGTGGATTATTGTGATGTTTTTATCATCTGTTTGGACTTCATGACATTATTGAAAGTAGGCCAACAGGACAAATGTAAACAAACTGAAGCCCATTAGACTCTATCTATCTATCTGTCTGTCTGTCTGTCTGTCTGTCTATCTATCTATCTATCTATCTATCTGTCTGTCTGTCTATCTATCATCTGACTCTATCTATCTATCTATCTATCTGTCTATCTATCTATCTATCCTAGCGACATGTTAATCATGATAGAAACATGCTAGCAACACGATAGTAACTTGCTAATCATGCTAGAAACATGCTAGTCACCTGCTAATCATGTTAGCAACATGCTAATGACATGCTAGTAAATTGCTAATCATGCTAGCAACATGCTAGTAGCATGCTAATCATGCTAATAACATGTTAATCATGTTAGAAACATGCTAGCGACATGCTAGTCACTTGCTAACCATGCTAGCAAAATGCCAGCAGCATGCTAACCATGCTAGAAACAGGCTAGCAACATGCTAGTAACTTGCTAATCATGCTAGCGACATGCTAGTCACTTGTTAATCATGCTAGCAATATGCTAGTAGCATGCTAATCATGCTATAAACATGCTAGTAACTCGCTAATCATGCTAGCAACATGTTAGTCACTTGCTAGTCATGCTAGCAAACATGCTAATCATATGTTAATCTTGCTAGCAACATGCTATTAACATGCTAATCATGCTACAAACATGCTAGCGACATGCTAGTAACTTGCTAATCATGCCAGCAATATGCTAGTAACAGGCTAATCATGCTAAAAACATGCTAATCATGCTAGAATCATTTTATCAACATCTATCTAATCTATCTAAATGTTCAAACTTCAGGCTTTTACAACTGCTTTAAACTTTCAGGCTAGGCTTTCTCAAGCCAACCTAAAGTTTGTCTTGACAAACTTTTTTATCTAGTTGTTGTGTGTGTTTTAGAGAGGAGGGCTACATCCCGAGCAACTACGTGACTGAGAAGGAGTCAGACACGCTGGAGCAGTTCATGTGAGTCAAATCAATCACTCATCTACTCATTCTTCATTACGACTCATTCTCCTCATGTTAGAGTAAGAGCGCAGTCATGAAACTTATGAAATCACACAAACGGAGGTCAGGGAAAGATGTAATGTTGAAATTGTGTGACAAATGAAAACTCTTATTATTTAATACACGAGTTTCACAATTTGAGTTGAATTACTGAAATAAATGAACTTTTCCACAACATTCTAATTTATTGAGATGCACCTGTATTTGAGTTGCTTAAAAAATTTCAATTTATAACTCTCAGTTTTAATTCAATGCATTACTTGCGCGATTTTTTTAAATTTACTAGCAATTTCTGAGTGAAAATGGCTTCAAAGTGAATCCAGCACCAGATTTCTTTCAGTGTCTTCCAGCTCTGCTCACTTTAGACGTTCATCAACTTCAGAGAGGGATTGAAACGTTCACTTGTGTGCAAACACTTGTTGCTGTATGTCTGTTTTTTAGGGTTGTATTTTATGGTCAGATTTTAAACTTCACTTGTTTATGTTTGTGTTTTGTGTTTCAGATGGTTTTGTAAAAATGTCAATCGCAACAAAGCTGAAGAGCAGCTCAGGAAAGAGGTGTGTGTCTGTATCAGTGTGACTGTTCAGAAAAATGTGTGTTAAACATACTTTATTAATGTGTGTGTGTTTAGGCGAAAGATGGTGGATTTATGGTTCGAGTGTCCAGCAATACAGGGACGTACACTGTGTCACTGTACACCAGGAATACAGCGTGAGACACACACACACACACACACACACCCTCTTACACACACACACACACACGCACTCTTACGCACACACACACTGAGTGTCTCACTCTCTCTCACACACACACACACTCTCTTACACACACACACACACACACACACACGCATGATGTGGTTCTGATGGTGTGTGTTGTTTGTGATGGTTTTTGCTGGTTTTCAGGGACGGAGCAGCTACAGTCAGACATTACCAGATTAAAGAAACAAATGGCTCACCAAAACAGTTTTACCTGGCAGAGAAATACATCTTCAACAGCATTCCTGAACTCATAGAGTACCACAAACACAACGCCGCAGGTACAACACACACACTGCCTACAGTTACAGCAAAGCACACGTTTTTGTGTAAATGTGTAATAGTGTGTGTGTGTGTGTGTGTGTGTAGGTCTTGTTTCCAGGCTCCGTCATCCTGTCGGCGATCAGACGAGAGAAGCTCCTAAAACAGCAGGATTCAGCTACGGTAACACAGTCACACACTACAGGCTGGAATACACATCATCAACATCAATCTTAAAACACACTCTTATGGCCTTTGAACATGATTACAGAGAGAAACTGAACGTCACACAATATATGTTAGCTCAAAATATCAGACATGTTTGATCTGGATGGAATCTCAGTCTGAAGATAAAATAATCAGTCACGTTCAAATCCACGCCCGCATCTCAACATCCAATCAGCATTGTCAGAAAATCAAAGCCATAAATCTAAACGAGTTGTGTTCCAAATTTGAAGTTGATATCGCAAAAAAATGAGCTTTCAGTCAGACTTTGTTTGGCTGCCGTACCAAACGTTTCCACCAGGTGAAATCTGTTTCCATTCGTTTCTATTCGGTCATTTTCACCATGAACAGTACAAGTGTGACTATTTATTTCAGGACCTAAAATAATATTTATGATCATTAACTGACATCAGAGAACCGTAAACATGTCAGTGTGTTGATAAATTATTGAAGCTTGACGTTTCAGGGAAAGGGACAGGTTTGGCTGTCAAAGCCGTTTGGGAGCATGATGATGATGATGGTGTGACGAGTGAAGAAACCGTGTGTGTGTGTGTGTGTGTGTGTGTGTGTGTGTGTGTTAAACATACAGCACACATGCTAGAGCAGCTCTGGAAGGACTGTTTTCCACTGCGGCCACAGCTTGGTTATGCTATCCACATCACTGGAAAAAAACAAGTCATTATGAAAACCAAAAATAAACATTTAAGGGGTTACAAATCAGTACATGTCCTC